ATCCACTACTTGAGGCCTGGTTCGAGTGTCTTGACTCGAGGGAGTTAATTCTCTGGGCCGTATTACCCAGCACCTCGAGCATTTGCTCGAGCTTACTGTTGAGCGTAGTCGAAACGGCCATGTTATGAGTATTTTGCTTGTCCGTGTAGGATTTGCAGTCCCTTGACTTTATCTCAAGGTTGGCTTGTGTCTCATAAAGTTGGTCTTTAACCCACTTTATGCCGTCCCGATCATTTGTCCAGCGTTGTTCGACATCTTGCATCATCCCATCAATCTTACGTACCCTAGTGGACAAGTCCTCGATTTTGAGGTTTACTCCACCAATTGCAGGATGGTTGGATTGGCTCTCCACTAGAGATCTCTCGATCATATCAACACGAGCTATAAGCCCGGTTACACGATCAGAAAGAGATTCAAAAACAGTTTGAACCTGGGTGATGGAGCGAGCAACATCATCATAGCTGGCTCGCTCATTTAGGGCATCGCCTATCCTTATCATGCGATTGGAAACGATCTTGACGCGTTGGCCAAGCTCGGTCACGATGTCCTTAGTCCCTTGTGACATCTGCATGGCCGCGTTTGCAGCCTGCGTACACGTGCTACTCACATGGACGCATTGGTCGTATTTGGCCCTCCACGAGTTAACCTCAGTGGAGAGTTGCTTGATGCATTGATCACTTCTATCATTCCTACGCCCAAGGTCCTCGACCTGAGCAACCAGGCGATGAATAATCGCACTTACGGAAGAGTCTACTCTCCCTCTTTCAAGGGCTGTCACAAGATCAACAACCTCGTTGGGTTGCTCCTCACTCGCAGGACCAAGTACTGATCCGCGATCTCGAGGAGTGGACAAATCAACCTGATTGGATTAGATCTCGGAGGAGTTCTGAAATCATCCTGCACGGCCGTTGATAGCCGTGGGAACTCACTCCGATTAGGAGATTGACTCTGATACGGAGCAGATCTCCTAGCATCACGAACCGCAGAGGGTTGCGTCATGCCCAGGCCTTTGGCTACGGACAGTTTAGGAACAACAGGCCTGTCCGTTCGCATAGGAACATCAGGTCTCGAGTCAGCAATAACAATGTCATTCAAGTCGGTCGCATTGGACACTCTAGACTCAGACATTGATTCAATATCAGTCGCATTACTGATGGTATGATTGCGACTAGAACTTGATGCCATCATAGACTCAGATTCTATCGGAACATTGGTTCCGTCCATGTTGTCCAGAGCGAAAATGGAAGCCGCGTTGGGCGTAGGGCGAACACCTTGTGCGTTCAAGCCATTTGACCTATTAAATTCCTCCTGGAACGCTTCGATCCCATCAAGCACGTTAACGAGTGTGCCCGCGTTCAACGGGTCTCTACCAATGATCGACGCTGGATCACCTGATCGACCGCGTCCTGAGTCCCGCGTATTGGGGTTACCCCTGTGGGCAGTTTCTCGATCCATCCCCCTTGCCCTATGTGATCCAGTCGAATTTGACCTTGATCGTTTGCTTGGGGTTGGACTGGGATGCAAATCCAATCTATCTACAATATTACGCTCCCTAGGGCTCTCAAATCCTGAAAGTCCTGGGGGAGGGGACATGTTCCTCATGGTCGGGTTTACCGACGGTCTTGGCCTGACGTTACGGCTGGCCACGTCAGGATTGAGATTTTCAATCGACAAAGGTAGCATGAACTCATCGCTTCCAGCAGCCCGTTTTGGGCTTTGGAATTGCGGGAAAGATGACGGGGCGGGTGGCCCTGGCATCCATGCGGCAAAATCCATACCAAAAATGTTTCCGTCGTTGGGCCATGAGGCTCTCCAATCGAGCCCACCGGATTCGGTCGGCAGATGAACGTCAAATGCAACTCCACTGGATGTACCAGGTTCGGGATTACCGAGCGCTTGAAAAACTACACTGCTGGTTGGCACAGGTCTACTGCTACTTCGAGAGTCACGAAACTCGGACTGACCAATATTCATCAGCTCCGGGAAAGATGAGGATTGAGCTCCAGGTGCAATACCGGGCTCGTCATCATCACGTCCTGAGACGGAATCATCATGGTCAGGACGATTAGCCCCATGACCCTGAGAGCGATTAGCTCTTGAGGCATTAGACGATAGCTCATCAGTGCGAGTAGCACTGGACCTTCCTGAAGGCATTGCTTCTGAAAAAGAGTGGTCCGACAAAAAGTCAGGACCGGAAAACATCGGCTGTCCGGGCACTTGGTCGTCATTCACAACGTCCAAGATTCCGGCCTGGCCGAGAACCCATTCGTCGGTCACCACGTGAGGTCCGTCCTCAGTGACTCCCGACATGACGCCTACAGAGACCTACGGTACCTGCAGGGTTATTATTAAAAAGGGGTTCGCGGTGCCAACCGAGGACGAATCCTACGGCTGATAACCTGCGAAAGGGTTTGAAACAGTATTTCGGGAGAGAATAAACAGGCCCTAACCCACCAACAAGAAGAGACAGTTTAAGCCCCCCAGTCCCAAGGGCAAAGTG